CCATTAACAACTGTCTCCTTTGCCTTGAGACCAGAAGAACTGGGTGGTGCCTGGCTACCATTACTGAACATTTTGATCAAAGATTCTGTGGAAGAATCCTGATCAAAAGGGGGGAAATGTAAGAAAAGAATGTAAAATTTAATGGAATCCAGGCTTTCTGGAGCCATTGTGGCAGGATGAACACCTAGAACTATTGCCCTGAGATAATCTTTAAACCTTAAACCAGAAATATCCCCTGAAGTCTTCTTAAAACAAAACAATAATTTAGCTTAAGTAGTAAAGATGTCTGCCTTGAGCATTGTGCTCTTTCAGAGAACTACCTATAGAATCAAAATAACAACAACAACTTGAAAGATAGGAAGCTTATGGGGCAGTGAGTTTACATTAATGATGGAGGAATAAAGAGAAAAGGCAGGTGAGAATGGTTGTACAACTCAAAGAATGTAATCAGTGTCACTGAATTGTACATGTAGAAGTTATTGAACTGCCGTATGTTCTGCTGTGTATATTCTCAACAACAACAACCAATAAACTGTTAAATAAGAAACATGGAGGTGGAGCCAACATGGTGCTATAGACAGAAGCAGCACGCCGTCCCTCCACAACAAAGACCCAAAAAACTAAGTAAAACAGAGGCAGATGTCAGTCATGGAACCCTAAGTGTCAAATGAAGAGGTAAAGAACTCAGCCAAGCACCAAATGGAATAAGAAACTGCTAGAGAACAGAGAGCAAGGAGAGATACGAGCAGAGATCCCGTCAGCTAACGCAGCACGGATTCGCCACTTCTACTCCTGTTGGAGATCGGAAGACAGGGAGGACAGGAAAGTAGCTTCATAGAGCTCCCAGCAGGAGACAGAGCACCCGCTAACCAGCGATACATGCTTTCCCACTCCCCACCCTTCTTCCTCCTGCTCCATCTCCGCCACTTCCCAGCGAGCGGAGGTCACTCAGCCGGGAGGCACTGGCTCGCTGCTGCTTGGATTAACCTTACCCACACCAGCCAGCTCCTTCAGTGCCATTTCTTTGTTGCTGGTGTTGCACTTTTAGGCTTTTTTTGGTTTCTTCCCTGCCTCTCACCTCCTCCCCCTCCTTTCTCTCAAACACCTGGCTCTGTGTGTCATCTTTGCTTCTTCTTGACAGGCTGTGAAGCACCACCCAGCTGGGGAAGTCTTCCCCAATCCTTGCCACCATGCTGGTAGGATCCCTGGGGCCTTCTTTGTTTGTTTGTTTGCTTTCTTTTTTCCATTTCTTCTTTTTTCAGTTTCTGGTGTCTCTCTACTTAGTCTTCTTTCCTGTCTCCTGAATACTTGGTACTGTGTGCCATCTCTTCCCCTTCTAGCCAGGCTGTACTGAGCAGCTGGAGAGCCACTTTCCTGATCTGCACAGTGGCACTGGTGGGATCCCTGGGGGCATTTCCTTTTTTTTTGGTTATTTTTTTCCATTTTGTTTTTCTTCATTTCTTAGTTTCTCATCTCTCTCTACTTAAGTTCTTTTCCTGTCTCCTGAATACCTGGTGCTGTGTGCCGTCCCTGCCCTTTCTAGATGAGCTGTGCCCTGAGGCCTGGGAGCCACTTCACTGGTCACTGGTGGGATCTCTGGGGGCATTTCTTTTTTCTTTCCTTTATTTATTTATTTATCTCTTTTTATATTTTGCTTTCATTTTTCTTCATTCCTCAGTTTCTCATCTTTCCCTACTTTCCTTCTTTTCCAGTCTCCCAAATAACTGGTGCTATGTGTCATCTCCGCCCCTTCTAGATGGGCTGTGTCCCATGGCCTGGGAGCCACCTCCCTGGTCACGGGTGGGATCCTTGGAGGCATTTCTCTTTTTCTTTTTTTAAAATTTTTGTTCATTTTTTTCTCTTTTTCTTTTTTCCTTTTTGTTTTTCTTCATGTCTTAGTTTCTTGTCTCCACTCCAATTGCAGGATCCCTCGATATTTCTTTTTATTTTCCTACTGTTTCTCTCTCCTCTCTTTCTTTATTCCTATAACCAACTTAACTCCACACATCACAACCTCCCTGCTCCCTCCTGCCTGTCTGCACGGTGTGCTGAACGTTGCACCCCTGAGCAGCACAGGCACAGCCTACCAGAACCTGCCCTGCACTGACACCCAGCTCGCCCTGTTGGTCCCAGTACATGCCACAAACAACCCATCCCAGCCCCTCCCCTTCAACTGGACCTGCCCTGCTGCACCATAGCTGAGCAACTGGCCCTGCCCATTGGGCAAGGAG